AAAGAAATGGTGATTTTGTGGAAGTGAAAATGGAAGGGCCAAGGTAGACGGAGATAGGAGATAGGAGATAGGAGGGTTGAGAGTTGATCTACGGAGGAGGGAGGATCAAAGGGCTAGTCAAAAAGGGCAAGGGAGGGTAGAGTGTTTATTTTTGAAAAATTATCTTATATTTTTAAAAGATGTAAAATAATTTTCTTGAAATAATGTGTTTGCTTTGGTTGACTTGAAAATCTTTTACATCTATTTTTATATTTTTTTCCCTTTCTAAACATAAAAACAATACCGAAAAGCTTTCGGAAAATATTTTTCATGGTTTTCAAACCGAACAAAGATGTTAATTGTTTTCCTCCCTAAGTGAGGGGGAGTGGGAGATGGTAGACGTTTTAAGCCCATTTAGGTTGAAACCCAAAAGATATCTATGGCACCTAGACAGAGTACACAGAGCCCATAATCCAACCAATATTTGCCAACAATAATTTTGGCACATAAATATGTGTAGAGTAGGTCGAGAGACACATGAGAGAGAGAAATTTAACCCTAATCACACTAGCTTAACTCGAGCCGTAAGGGTGGGGAAAATTTGAACTAGACATCTTAAATTTTTTTAGAAAATAAGTATATAAATAACTCTATCTAGCTTCATATTTCCAATGCAATCGTTTGCCCTTCATAGCATATTATTGTTGTATTAAATATGAATCAGTTATTTAGGGAATTTGCATCGTTCCATGAAGAAAGAGAGAGAGAGAGAGAAACAACTTGGATTTAAGAAGTGGAGTTTGGATAAAGATCCAAGTCCCGAAATGCCCTTCTCTTCTCGTAAGAGAGAGAAGAATTTGCATTGCATTGCATTGATCCTCGATAATTTGTTCCATTGCATGCGTCCTTAGACCGCAATCCCTTGATCACAACTCTCAAATTTAGGCAATAGGATATCATCGCATATCTATGTCGACTGCAGAAAAAGCAAAGCAGGACTGCAGGTGTATAAACTTTTATTTTAAAAGAAATTATAACAATTATAGTACCCACAACCACTGAGAAAAGAAGCAATTAAAAATAACTGTGCATGCCATGATTTCCAACAATAAAATACGCTCTCTCTCTCTCTGATAAAAAAAACGTTACCAAAAACCTAGCATTAATGAATAAAAATAAGTTAGTAAATCACCAAATATAAATTTCTAGTGGTAGCTAATTAATAAAATCACTATGCCAATGCCAATATCATAATTTTATATATCAAGAAAGAATTGAGCACCTAAAAAATTTAAAACATATCTCACGTTTGATCATAATGATTGGCAATAAGGGACTGAATTGCGCCAGATAAGTTGGTCATGGCAGCAACAAGATCAGTAATTCCTTTCCTGTTAACTTCGTTTCGAGTTTCTTCAATTTGGAGTCGACGCTGCTCCAGCTCCATCACTTCTTGGTGTCGTTTTTCTTTCTTCTCCTCGCAGCTTTTAAGGGTTTGGGCCAAAACTGAGGCACTTTGCATTATGCTGGAACCAATTTTCCGAACTTTCTTGCGTTTGGTCTCTGAACCCAGATTTTCACTTGACTCTGTCTCTGAAGAATCTGACTCTTCTATGAATGTACACAAACAAATAAATAATTAAGCGTTCCTCTTCATCCACTCATTGCTAGTCATACCGAGGGTTAAATTTTAAGATTGAAAATTTAATGATTGGTTTTGCAATGTTGCTGCCAACAGCCAAGATTTTTTCTCTTTTTTTTT